TGTAAAAAATGGTTCGACTGAAAAATCTAAATAACATGCGCTCTGTAGTAAGAAATAAATTTTGTTCATCGAAAATGAATACGAAAATTCTCGACTATAACTCTATTTAACTGGACTAATGCTGTGTTGTTTATCTCGATATACCTAGGTATATTATATTGCATGTATGTATCCACTTTCTTCTAGTACAATACCGACGCATAATTCGCGACAGAAATAGTACCAGTCGACCGTCGTGTGCGGGGAACATTAAAATTCCCACTGAGCCTACATCTGGGTGTACTTATGAATACAAAAATATGTCAATTGTAAAATTTCGATCATTGATAACTTCGATTTGCCAAAAAACGAACCAGTTCTCAATGATCTCGTTGTTTTGCAACTATGACATTGCCAAAGATACTTGTCCGAAAGAAATTCAGCAGTGCATAGAATCATGTCCTTATCGCACACTGGACACTTGAAAATCCGAGCTATGAGTCCGTATCTTTGTGCAAACCTCAATAGAAGGTTTCTCACCTAGTTTGAACAAATCTACGAACCGTATCACCATTGCTATCGATCACACACAATCCAATTTAGCCAAAAGAAATAATAGCACACTTGTGTTACACGCTTTGCGAGTTACTAACGAAAATCATGCTTATACATGTTTTACGAAAGCAGACGATACATTGTAGCAAAAAACTCTCGAAAGAGTATATCAAATTTAATGCTCAATGTACAATCACGAGCTTGCACTCATACATACTTATATTTTTAAATAATATTATTTATAAATTAAAAATACACATATTTAATATAAAAATATGTAATAATATCTTCATAGCAAAATATATGTATATATAATAGGTGCAAACCTGTGTGGCGTAGCACGAAAATTAAACGAAAAAAATCTCCAAACATGGAATATTGCGATTACTAGATCATATTTTGTGAAAATATATTTCTATAACAAGATAATATATATGATAACAGTAAAAATATACTTATTACAAATTTTTAAAGATAGTTGCGCTTTTTTCCGATCAGGAGGCGCCACTATTCTATGCAATTGGCATTACATTTGATAGATGGCGCTACGTTAAAAATCTAAGTCACTAGCAGCCAACTTCAATTCGGAGTCGTATACTGCAGTTTACCCTTATTTACTTTAATTATAATGTGGTTCGATCTAAATCAATCTACCACAACTGAATCTAGCTAACTGACTCTAAGATACAGACTTGAAGTCCACCCTTCAAGACCATAAATTGAGCTGAACTCTTGGATCCCAAGAGATACAGTCCGCTGTACCTCTCATGCATACATCCGCACTCATGCCCATTCATATCTACTACTCTATGTAGATGATCAATGCGTGGCGCCTCATTGTGCGGCTTTACGTCTCCCCAAGCTGGTAACCTTGAAGTCCCTCACTGATTGGCCATTCAGGACCGTGAGTTTTGTCAGAGATTCGCCGCTGTATTGGCTATAGAAATGGTGCAATGGGACCGGGAAGTTCGAAATAACATAAACACGAGAATTTCCTCTTTTACCTATTTTAACTCTTTAATAATATGCGACAAAATTAATTGATATACAAGGGAGATAATTCATACTGGGTTAGAATAAAGTTTATATTACACTAACGTGCGAACAAGAAAAGGACTGTACGCGTATTGAATGCTAAAACAAACTGAAGCAGTACCGAGGGTATATAAGTTCACTTTTTCGAAGCACTCCCTGAGGAAAAGACTCTTTTAAACGTCGTAAATCGTTTTTCTTGTCGTGAGGAATTTTTTGGGAGGGAAAAGGTGAAAGCGTGAAAAAGTTTCTTGAGAGATTCCCGCGCAAAAGACAAGTCAGCGGAAGGGCCCACTTGGTGCCAAATGTAGTTGACATAAAATAGGCCCCGCTAGCTCATGCTAACCAGCGTGCG